TAGTACGACCTACTGCTGCGTGCAGACTACTTTGATTCCGTGCCTACGTACGACGACAGCCATTTCCGACGGCGCTTTCGAATGCGGAAGGGTCTCTTCCTGCAAATTGCGAACGATCTGGCACACCAGGACCCTTACTTTCAACAGAAACCTGATGTCACAGGTGTATATAGTACATAACCAGCAGATATTCATATATAGTCAGCAGATATTCATATATAATCGGTGACATAGGACGCCAAGGTTTTTCAACATTGCAAAAGGTTACTGCATGCGTCCGATACCTAGCGACAGGTTGCTCGATAGACGACCTGGACGACAGGTATTTTAGCTATTTTGCTACAAATATAATTACACAAATTCAAAAATAATATGAACTTGAATTCACAGTCAACGGTTTGTTAGATATAGAATTGGAGAGAGCACTATGCGTCAAGCCTTGCGCCGATTCTGCTCGGGGATTCAGTCGCTTTACAAGGACAGCAGCCTACGCGAACCTAATGAATCAGACTGCCAAAGGCTATTGCGCGACGCTCAACGTGTTGGTTGGCCTGGAATGCTGGGGTCTCTCGATTGCTCTCATTACGCGTGGAAAAATTGTCCGAAGGCGTGGGCTGGGCAATTTCAAGGTGCCAAAGGCCGACCGACAGTAATATTGGAGGCTGTGTCCGACATGCGAGGACGCATTTGGCATGCGTACTTTGGCATGCCTGGAGCAAACAACGATATCAACGTCTTGGACAGTTCAAATATGCTTCACGGTTCGATTGGAGGTGCAATAATAATATTTTTTAAATTAATGATAAAATATTTAATGTAGGCAATAATAGGATGGCGTCCTCAAGTTCAATACAATGTAAATGGAAACACCTACGACACACCATATTGGCTCGTGGATGGAATTTACCCTCCATACTCAGTCTTTGTGAAAACGGTACCCAACGCGAAGTCGCTCCGGGAGAAAGCATTCCAGAAAGCCCAGGAGTCACGCCCCATGGACGTTGAACGCATGTTTGGCATGCTGCAGGCTCGTTGGCACGTGCTAACACGACCATGTGAGTTGTGGGATCGTTCTGCTATGCATCACGTCGTAATTACGTGCTGTGTATTACACAACATGGTCATTGATGACGAAATGGACGACGACAGTTGTGATCTCGAATTTTTAAACGACCTCCAACCCGACGATCCTTTTGTGGCGACTGGCGAGATCGAACATGCGACATTGCAGAGTCGCATTCGCGCGTTTGTCAAGCTTACGGACGGTGTAGCTCATACGAAGCTCCTCCACGATTTAGTTGAACACCGCTGGAATTTGTTCGGTGATATTTCGTACAAATAAAATAAGAAGAAATGAATTTTGAATGAATTTTTGATTACACAGTAGCACAACATTCGGATGAGCAGTAGTACTGTCCTTCGGGGCAATTAATCTCGCTGCAGCATACGTGATGGACAACACCACAACAGTTGAGCCCTTGACATGGATGTTTCATGACTGAAGCATCCATACCACGACAGTCACGGAAAGAGCAGTTTGAATCCACCGACTGAGCATTCAATATTAGAAACAAAATCTTATAGTGTAGTATGTATGATAAATTTGCACCTGGATTTGTGGAGAGACCAAGGACGACTGTACGTGTTCCTCCACCAATGTCCCATTCTCCACGGCGTCCTAACACCATTTGGTCACAACATATAGCGACATGT